AGCCTAATTTGAACATACATTGGAAACAACTAAAAAAATTAAAAGGTTGCACCAAGCAGCATTTTAATACAGCCTTAAGTTGTAACTTAAAACATACTGATTAAATTTGTAGATGCTTTGTTACCTGTTTCTGTTACTATAATAGCATTGAAGCAGAGCAAGCACATAAAATACAAATATTAGACGTGAACAATTTGAATCACCATTTTTTTTTCGTAAAGACTAATGGGATTTTGTTAAAAATGTGCTAAAATGACCTTGCTTGATATAAATGTTACACTGAGAAAGACACTACCCACATCTCTGTCCATCACAGACGCAGTATTTCCTGTTTATATCAGATGGTGTTTCTGATTGGCTGGTGATGGTGAAATACATAGTTTTGAGCTACAACCATTTTACACACTGCTAGTTACAACATACCTTAAAGGTCTGCAGTGCAACCAACATTCTACGCAGCTCTAGGTATAAGGCAACGCCTCTCAACGTATGATTATAGGGTTGAAATTACGAAAGTTCGACCTGGTGCAATTGAGAGTATGTCTGTGGATCTCCAGACACACTCACCTGTTGGTATGACGTGGTGTACACCATGACGTTCTGCTGTTGGCCATCAGTTGTGATCAATCCAGCAGATAATTGATTTGCTGTAACACAAAAACATCAACACTGAGTATAAAGCACTAATGACAATCATATACTGTATATCACCATGACTGCATTATTTTTGGAGCATCACATAGCTTTTGGTGCCTGAGCACTTTTGTAGCTTTACACTCTGCTGTAACACTGTAGCACTTACTACTTTAGCCAACACCAAAAATAAATAATTTATCTTATTACTGTAGCACTCTCCACTCATCTAGAGAATTTATGTTTGTCTATTGGTGTAATGTTGTTGTGGCGAAACATGCAAGCAAGAATTTCATTAAATATTCTATGTTTAAAAAAAACAAATAAATTAATCTTGAACTATTACAATAAGAACTTTAAATTCCCATAATTGTAAAAATAACTTTGCTTATTAAAGATTTAATACTTACCGAAACTGTCTTCTGTAAGTTCTTCGCTCAGGCCTTCTGTGACCGCCACTGACGAAATTCCCTTCTCACCCTTCATCGCCTAGTAAACACCACAAAACCATTTATCTCCTCCATTACACTAACATTAAGGAACACATGTTGGTGTGTGTGTGTGTGTGTGTGTGTGTGTGTGTGTGTGAGAACCCGCACCTCTCTGAACTTCTGCAGGTAAAGTTTGAGCGGCTCCACATACATATCAAAACCCAGTGTGGACATGGCAAACAGGATGTCTTCGCCGTTGATGGTCTTGCGCTTCTCCTGATGACATCGCTCACTGGCTTCCGACGTGATGAAGCTGATGAACTCGCTCACACACTCCTGTACGCATTCTTTTGCATCTTTTGCGATCTATGAGCAAAATAACATTAATGCTTATAAAAATCAGTAAAACATTCATGACCTGTGATAGTTGGTGCATGTGAATGAATGACTGAGACACAAACCTTTCCCGTCTGTGGGATGGCGTTCTTCATGATGCGAGCTACATTAGCAATGGGCAGGTAGATATCCTGCTCTCGGAGATTGTCTTTGCAGCCATTACCATCTTCATGTTCATGAAGACTTTCTTCACCATCATCTAGACAGAATACATTCATGAATATTTGCAACATGAACAGCCAACTAATCTAAACTCCTCCCTGAAAAATAAAATATGACGGTGTTCTCACAGTGCTATAGCAAAACCTAGTCTCTTGAGTGTAGCGTAGTGTCTGTTTCTCTTGGTGTTTGTATGTCATGCTGCTGTTGGTGGCTTTTGGATTGTATGAAAACTGTATAGTATAAACCCAGCTTTATGCAATCGATAGGCAAAGACCAACAACTTGGAAGAAAAAGGAAAAAGAAAAAAAAACAACAGGTAGGCAGTCATTTGAGAGAGAGTCGGAGAGAGTCAAAGAGTCGGCTCTTATTGGAGAGCTGAGCCAACTGCTCTGACTCAATGAGGCTTCGGTTGTGGCGCACTTTTTCATCTCCAGAAGCACACGTAAATTTATATTTCTGTCTACAATACTGATATTAAACACTCTGACATTTAGACTAAATCCGGAGCTCCCAGTTGCCATGAAGGCAGCATTAACTCTCCGTAGTAACACGAACTAAACTTAACGACTCGAAATATGCCGAGTGAACCGACTCATCTGAAGCTTCGTTTCATTACATTACACTATGTTTTTGATCCTAGCTGTCGCTAGGTGTGCCTTTGAGATATAATACATATGGGTTATATATATTATACAAGTCAGCTATTAACTTACCCTCTGGCGTTTGTAGCACATAGTGGCCACCGGTCATATAGTCGCCCGTTATAGCCAACTGCGAGGTATCGGTGGTGGTGCTGTCTCCGTCCATCTAAAAACAAAACCAACACGCACCAGAACATTACTGTGAGGACTGATACAAGTCAAACAAAACCTGAGCAAATTTAACAGCCAGGATACCTGCACTTCTCAGTCAGGAATGCTAGCTAGTTAGCTAGAGCGCGCGCCTATTCCAACATAACTAGCTAGCTCTCTAGAGTTCAGTAAATAAATCCAAAATGAGTTTACACAAAACAAAACAAAACAAAAAAAAAACCTAAAAACATACTTGAGCAATTCGCCAGTCAGTCATATTTATTTCCCAGTTAATATGCTTTGTGTTCTTTGTTTGTTTTTCAAATTAGCTTGACAACAGCTAAGGACAGCTAGCCAACTAGCTAATAGGAGAACTGCCTCGCTAGCCACGGTTACCGCTGAAATAAGACGGTCCACCATAACTGTAACATTTAACAGATTCTTATTTAAATCATCTCTACATAACTACATACCAGCAATGCACACAATTCCCTGGTTAGTTAGAGTCCTCGACTGTGGATGAGTTGGTGACATTTTGCCCGGGAGAGGAAATCTTTAGTAAGCTTTTATACAGCACTGTATTTGTGCAGTGTAATGTCGCTAGCTAGCCGCCTGTCCAACAAAGAAATCCTCAGCTCAGGATTGAGTTTGGGCCTTGTGGTTTATGCCGGACTACAGTCCCAAACCTGTCCCTAATTAAACCTTATTCTCGACACTTCCTGCTTTCAATCGCACATTCAGATAGACAACAAGCAAAAAAATCTGTCCGAGACGGACATTTTCATTCGAGCTAACGAGAAATCGGTTAGCAATCATTGGCCGAAGCCAGATACAAACCTGCAATGAAGCCCTGGTTGGTTCACGTCTGCAAACGGCCGTGTGGTTGGACAGAAAATGGCTGCGAAAGGACCAGTCCCAGCGCGGAGAGCGCCGCCATACTGCACCGCCTACTGCTCCCACTAGAGGCCGAGTCCGGGGCACGACACCGGGACAGCACACTGCTTCACTCTGCTCTAACGCTGTTTTTAATACTCACAAAACCACGTCTTTAATTCAGTTTTATTTGTATAGCACTTTTTACAACACATATTGTCACAAATCAGCTTTACTTTACACAAATCCTGATGTACACTCTAAGAAAAAAAAGGGTACTACTCTACCTTTCCTTCTGGCTGTGGTGGCCTGCTCAAGTGTTCACCTTTTGTACCTTTAGTACACATTTAACATAGAAAAATGAATGTAGTTTACCGTTTAAACTTTACTCTAAAACAAATTACACTCCATTTCTGTACCTTAAATCATTTTTGAATAGCTATGGATAGCCTAACGATGAGCGTGAGACTGCTGTTGATGGTACCACATGGACACCCAGAAGATGGCTGTGGATGTTCTTCCTTAGATGGCCTAAAGACTGCACGACTGCACTTGGCAAAAACAATTACAATTCTCAATCATTTAACAGTTGATAACTTCACTTTGATATGATAGACCTAAAGTTAAAACTCGAATGAAATCAGAAATGACTCAGTTTGCTCATACACACTCGGCACTGCTTGACACTATGGTATACAGTTGTAGAAGGGAATTATTTATAATCGCACTATTTGGTGTCACCCAGATGAGGATGGGTTCCCTTTTGAGTCTGGTTCCTCTCAAGTTTTCTTCCTCGTGTCATCTCAGGGAGTTTTTCCCTGCCACCGCTGCCTCTGTCTTGCTCAATAGGGATAAATTTATCATTTATATCCAGATTTCTGTAACGCTGCTTTGTGACAATGTCCGTTGTTAAACATGCTATAAAAATAAAACTGAATTGAATTGAATTTTATACTTATGCTATATGGCCAAAAGTTTGTGGACTCCTGACCATCACACCCATATGTGGTTCTTCCCCAAACTGTTGCCACAAAGTCAGAAGCACACAATTGTATAGTCTCTGTACACTGTAACATGAAGATTTTCCTTCACTAGACCTAAGGGGCCCAAATATGTTCCAGCATGACAATGCCCCTGTGCACAAAAAACGAGGTGAAAACATCACGAAAACATAATGTGCCAAGGTTGGAGTGGAAAAATTCAAGTGTCCTGCACAGAGCCCTGACCTCAACCTCACTGAAAACCGACTGCACCCCAGTGCAAATGGGCAAATCCCCACAGTCACATTCCAAAATCTAGTGGAAAGCTTTCCCAGAAGAGTGGAGATTATTATAACAGCAAACAGGGGACTAAATCTGGAATGGGATGTTCAACAAGCAGATATGAGTGTGATTGTCAGGTGTCCACAAACATCTGGCCATATAGTGTATGTAAGCTTGGGTTACTTTCTGTGTAGAATATCTCCCCCTGTCTGTGTGGGCTTTCTCCAGGTCCTCCAGTTAAATCCCACCTCTCAAAAACATATCTGTAGGTGGACTGGATATGCTAAATTGCCCCTAGGTGTGAATGTACAGTATATATGGTGCCCTGTGGACTAGGGTTCCATCCATTTACTTCTTTTGGCTGACACTTTTATCCAAAGTAACTTACAACTGAGGCATTCAGCTAAATGTTGAGGATTAAGGGCCATGCTCAATGGACCAACAATGGTAGCTTATTTGTATTGGGATTTGTACTCACAACCTTCTGCTCAGTAGGCCAATGCCTTAACCATTGAGCTACCAACCAGGGTTGTAGTTACTCCTTCTGCCGTGTTCCCTGTATAGTCTCCAGATCCTCTGGGACCCTGAACAGGATAAAGCGGTTACTCTTAAGATGTAAAGATGAATAAAAAAATTAACTATTTAATACTTATAAATCTTAATATACCCCCATCTGTATGTTGCCTTATAGAAGATCTACATGTGTGATCACTACACACCATGACTATAAAGGCAAGCAGTGATAAAGCATGGCCTGTTCAGTTATCTGATTTCTCACTGATCAAATTCCAATATGATGAACCTGACAACTCAGTGTGAAAAACACATACCGCCAGCCATATATGTCTGAAATGTCTTACCTGCAAGAAGTTCGGCAAAAACAAACAAATGAAATAAAAGCAAACAAATCAATTAATTGTACATTATTTTTGCATTTTTACTAAATTCAACAAGTTAGCATTGCATTAGTAGTCTTCCAAACTTTTGGCCTGTAGTATGCATGTGTAAGTGTGTATGTAAACATGCAGAATGCAGATTGTGCAGAAGCCAACATTCTCATTTCCACTGGTTGCTATCACACCTACCTGTCTGTCATAATAGTGACACTGGTCACTGTCATCACCAGTGGCCAATGTCACTATTAATTCCTTTTTTTCCATCCCTTCTGGGGTGATCTCTTTCTGACTAGAAACACATGTAGAAACTTATCATATAAATTGATTTTGGCCATCACCAGTGGCCAGTGTCACTATTAATTCCTGTTTTTCCATCCCCTCTGTGGTAATCTCTTTCTGACTAAAAACACATGTAGAAACTTATCATATAAATTGATTTTATGGTAATAAAATAGCAGTCCAGAGTAGCTGAGACCAGTGAATATAAGTCTGTATTCTTAGCACCATTTTTTTTATGTCTCAACCCCTCTCTCTAGCACCCTTGTTTCTCATATTTAAGAGTAAGAGTAAGATATTCCTTTATTTGCCATGTGCTCTGTGTCTCTCTCTCCCAAAGAAACTTTATACAGTGAATTTACTGAAGCTGTTGTTTCCTGGGCCGTAACAACGACTCTGTGTTTATGAGAATTTTGCTCTTATAATTCATATGGGGCAAAAGTCACAGGTTCTTTTGAATATGCCACCTCATTGCCTGGGGACCCACAATGATCATTTTATCAGTTTATCAGTTTGCTTAGAATGCACAAAATTCACAAGAACTTTGGTTAGCTGTTAGTAAAGCCTTAAAAGAAAAAAAGAAAGGAAAAAGAAAAACTGTTTCCTAATATGTTTATACTTACCAATACTCTTGCTTTAATTCTCTAAGGTCTTACAATAAGGTTTTTCAACAATCACTTTCACCCTCACAAACTATGTTATTGTAGTTTCTTTAAAACTTTATGCCCTTCAGATATTTCAGAGCTTTGGAGTTCTAGAGCAGCCATAAACATCTGGACGCTTGCTGGTAATTAAGCCATACAATGAGAAACCCACAAGGCTTTCATCTCTCTAAATTACTTTCTGTTGTGCAGACTGGATGTTTTCCCTCAATAATAGTGAAAAACTAGCTTATTAATGGTGTTATACTTTCACAGGTGTGTGTGTGTGTGTGTGTGTGTGTGTGTTTGTGGTCAGGGGTCAGTCAGGTTAGTATCTCATTTAAGACCAGACAATTTGCATATACAGTGATACTGTATACTAAAAACCATGGGATATACTAATGGGATGTTTGGTTCAACCGTAGGTTGTCTAGCTCCATCTTAGAAAAAGGAACTCTTCAATGGGCTCTTTAGATCTTCGGATAGTTAAGGGTTCTTAGTGTGCGCAGAGGTGGTGTGATGTGGCTCAACATGAAGCAGAGTTACTGTTACCAACAATTTTACAGTTTGGCCATGCACATTACCAATAAGAAGAAGAAAAAAAAGAACAACAAAAAGAAATAAAAGGGAAAAAAGGCAGAGAAAGAAGAACAGGGAGAAGAACTGAGTCACTGGCAGTCTTCAAACGACGTCTAAAGACTTACCTCTTCATAAAGTACTTAAGTTAGCACTTGCACGCACGTGCACACAAAAAAAAACAAAAAAAAAAAAAAAAAAAACAGTTTTTGGACTGATGGTATTCCTAGTTTGTGACCTAGTGAGCCAATATCAGAATGTATTTTTGATAGACTTCAAAGCACTATTGTAAGTCGCTCTGGATAAGGGCGTCTGCCAAATGCCATAAATGTAAATGTAAATGTAAGAACAACAAGAAGAAAAAGAAACAGAAGAAAAAAGAAGAAGAAGAAGAATTCCAAAGTTGGTGGTGAGTTGTGTTTTTTATGTTGGAATTTTTCCGCTGCAGTTACAAGGTCTGACAAGCATATGTCACGGATTTTGCTGTGTTTTATAACCTTGAGTTGTTTTGTATTATGTTCCACTTCTGTCAGCCAAGAACAAGAATCTGAGGCTATCATGAGCACAGACTCACCGAAACTGGACAGTTGAAGACTGGAAAAAAACGAGGTGATTTTTTCCCCCTAATCTTCAACTGTGCAGTTTCTGTGAGTCTGTGCCCACTGTAGCTTCAGATTCTTGTTCTTGGCTGACAGGAGTGGAACCTGATGTGGTCTTCTCCTGTTGTAGCCCATCCATCTCAAGTTTCAATATTTTGTGCAAGGTGAGATGCCTTTCTGCTTACCACAGTTGTAAAGAGTGATTATTTGATTTACTATATCCTTCCTGGCAGTGCAAACCTATCTGGTTATTTTCTTCTGACTTCTCTTATCAACAAGGCGTTTCCACCCACAGAACTGTCGCTCACTCAGTGTTTTTTGTTTTTCACACTATCCTGTGTAAACTCTAGAGACTGTTGCGTGTGAAAATCCCAGGAGATCAGCAATTTCTGAAATACTCAAACCAGCCCATCTGGCACCAACAACCATGCTATGATCAAAGTCACAGAGATCACATTTTTTCTTTCTGATGTTTAATATGAACATTAACTGAAGCTCTTGTCCTGCATCTGCATGTTTTTTTTTTGTTTTTTTTTTGCATTGTGCTGCTGTCACATGACTGAATGATTGGATTGACTACATAATGGAGCAGGTGTAAACCGTTAAACCTCTGAGAATACAGGTTATTATTATTATTATTATTATTATTATTATTATTATTATTATTAGGTTAAACGTAACGAAGAAAAAAGAAGTTTAAAACTGTCGCGTGTAAAACTAAAGGAAGAAAGAAGCTGCACGCTGCACGGAAGCCAAACACGTAAAAAAAAAAAAAAAAAAAAAAAAAAAAAAAAAAAAAAAAAAAAAAAAAAAAAAAAAAAAAAAAAAAAAAAAAAAAAAAAAAAAAAAAAAAAAAAAAAAAAAAAAAAAAAAAAAAAAAAAAAAAAAAAAAAAAAAAAAAAAAAAAAAAAAAAAAAAAAAAAAAAAAAAAA